CCCTCCATAGACACCTTTGTACCCACAGTTTTCTCCCTTGCATGCCTCGTCAAGTTGATAGACAAGCGCATTCTGCCAATAACAATAGATCTAAGCTTAGCCTCCAAACTCTTGGCATCCACCACATCCACAAAATGCATAAAACCAAAGCGACGTCCTAATTTATCACGCTTTTGAGGTATGAAAACATCAACCACCTTTCCCCACCATTGAAATACCCGCCACAAGGCTAAGACATCAGTAACAAGTGGAAAATTCGTAAAAAAGTAAGACATGGAATTGCTAAGAACTTTTCCAAGATGCCCACCAAATTTACCCCTTTCCCTAGACCTCCATTCCACTATTGAATTCTCCAACTTCTCTTTTGCGTTTCAAATTAAGAAGAGACAACAAAATTGAGTCTGTCGATGAAAGACTCAAACTGATGAACAAAAAGCGACAGCGTGTTCAGATTCAAATATTCTCCGATCAGTAGCGACAAAAGCAATTAACACTCCTCAAACTTTCCTTTTTCTCCCTGCAACCGCGTCGCCATGGCTGAGCGCCGCAGCTCTGAAGCTCTCCCAGCAGAAGCTCCGCAACTCCATCCAAAACCAAACGATTCTCAAGATAAAGCAGAAAACATCAAGGAACGAGTCGCTGAATCGCCGTCTGCCGCTAAGTTGCAACGCAATGAGTTACCGAGTCCTGACGAACCTCGTACGGAGTCCAATTTAAAAACCCTAGCTGTCGTTCCCTCTTTAGTTGAATCCCTTAGCTCAAAAAAAATACATCAACAATCTGTTTGATGAATATAGTTAGATTTGAAAGAATGAGATATATGTGAGTGTATACTATTAGTAAGTTTTGTAGTAACTGATATTTAATTTTAAAATTCAAAATTTTAATTTACAAAAAAACTTTCAAGAGAACTGTTTTTCCCGGGACGCCATCACAATACAAATTCGCTGCCAACAACTGTTAAAAAATAATAATAATTTGGGAATAAAGTGAAAATTAAATACAAAGCAAGAAGTGAATTCGTGAATTAAGAAAAGCCTGAGAAACAGAAAGAAACGTAAAGTAGAAGTGAGAAAAAGATAATGGAAGGTGATTAAAAAAGTAAGTTACTATTTAATTTATATAGATGAAGAATTTTACTATCTTAACTAATTAATTATTTTGCTAACTAACTCTAATATCCAACACTTTTCGTCTTTGTTATGTATTTCTTTTCTTTTTGCCAAAGACATATATCATCTTCGAAGTACACAAACATGTGGCTATATTCTAACATCATATTTCTCTCAAATAAAAAAAGGTTTTGATAATTAAATTTTTAACATTCTATCTTAATTCTAAAATGATACAAGGAGGGGAAAATGATAAAAACACAGTTTGCATAAATTTTTAAACCAACGATTAACATAATGTACTGCAATGGATCATTAGATATTTGAATGAAACTAAATCATTAAAATTGGAAATGGAAAAAGGAGAAAACATTATTTTGAAAATTAAAAAATGACATGATGGCCTGAAAATCTGTTGCAAGTGCCGAATGTGAAGCAAAACGTCAAGTATATTCAATGTCTTGAATGAATCAAAATTAGAAGGGAAAAAAGTTGTAAATGACAATCTGCTCCCTTCCAAAACAAATGTTAAAAAGAAAACTGAATTATTAAATTGTTTAATTATAAAAGATTTTTTTATATTGAACATATGCACACTTCTTATAATAAAATTTTGTCATGTTAGGGAAGATTTTAATTTTAATTTGATTATTGTCAACTAAATTTGAAATTTTTAATTTCATTATTAAAAATTACAAAAATATAAAAGAGAACCGTTGATTTAGAAGAAAAGAAAAAAAGTAAGATTTACCTTATTTTTGTAATTTTTAATAAATTTTAATTAATAATAAAGAGTGTGTAAAAAGAAAGAATGTCTTCAAGTGTATTATTAATATTTATTTTTCTTAATTTTTATTTATATAATATATATATATATATATATATATATATATATATATATGTTTAGCTTTCATTTCATCTCACTCTCTATTTTGAGCGTGGGTTAAGTGGATTGATAGAAACTAATTGTACTTTCTTTTTCATATTAACTTAAAAGTTAAACTTAATAATATCTAATAAATTTTTTGTGTTAGGAAAGCTTCTATTTTTTTTATAATATTTTTTTACTTTTTTATTTTTCCTTTTTTCGTTAATTTAGTTTTATTTTTGGCTTAAATATATTTTAACTTCCTCTAGATGTAAGTGAAGAAGATAATTTAATTCAAAATATTGTCATCAAACAAATTTTTATGTAAAAATAGAGCAAAGTTGTAAGAATACATTGACATGCAAAAAACAAATTAAAGTACTAATTAAATGAAAATAATTAAAAAATATTGATATGAAAAACGAAAATGACTAAATCGAATAAAAAATATTTAAAAGTAATATAAAACTAAAATACAAATTAATATTACAACTAGAAAATTATTTTACCAGAACAAAAATATCAAACCTTTTTCGAACTGCAAAAAAAAAAATCTTAACACACTTGATTATCTCAAATAATGAGACTATGATAGTTTAATTATTTATATAAAAAAAATCATGTAAACATATGGCACTGTAAACATAAACTAGAAAGCAAAATGCATATATTTTATTAAAAAAATATACAAGCCTTAATTATTTGTGGTAGCTTTTCTCTCGAGAAACATTTTTTGTACCTCTCAATAGAACACCTAACGGTGTCACTTTACAATTGTGTGTATTTTTAAAATGCGTAATACAGAAATAGTAAAAAATAAATGAGAAAAATAGTTATATTTAATATCGTATAAAATATCAAATTTAATGGTTGAAATAACAAGATTCTTTTTGCAACTAAATTAGACAATGATTTAACAGGCATGTTGAATTGCGTATGTTGAAATGAACGACCTTAAAACTTGCAAGTATTCTCAACAATTTTTCCGTACCTTCCATGAATTATTTTTGTAGAAATAAAATTTTAAAAAATAAAATATCATTACAATAAATAAATATCTTAATGAAGAATGAAAATATAATTAGAAATAATGACATTATTAATAATGTATATATTGGTTATTGTATATAATATTAAAGAAATAATTTAAAATTGAAAATGTGAAAATAAATTTTTAAATCAATGCACATCATTTACATATTTTAATTTAATATGGAAATTAATTTTCAAAATTGAAAACATAAAATAAAATTACACTAATCTTCAATCTAATATCTTTAAAAAATCTTTTTGATTTAGAAATAAATTCAAATGTAAATTGAAAATAAATTTAAGAAATAATATTGAATAAAATATATAAACAAAAAATAAGATACTTAATATAAAACATCACGGAACTTGATAAAAAAATAAATGATTCTAGAAAATATTTTTACAATTAGATACCCAAATATAAAATGACAAGTGAATCTACGAGTACCTCTGTAAGTGCTTTGAATCTTAAGGCATGCTAAATACAAACACAGAGTAGCAAAATAGACATACAATAAATTTAAAAAATTGTTGAACATAAATGATACAAAGTAAAAAATATAAATTTAATTTTAATATGTAAATATAGAAAAATTATATTGTTAACTGATTAAATATATTTAAATATAATTTTATATTAATTATTATAAATTTAATTATTTTTTAATATAATAATTCAATAATAGTATAAAAATATTTATTGTATCTTTTACCAAATTTTAAAACCAATTTTAAACTATTTAAATTTTAAAAAATAAAATAAATTAGTTTAAAATTTAATTTATATAATTAAATTTTAAATAGATTTAAATTAATTTTGTCAATTTATCCAAATCCAATCTGTACACATTCTTAATTAGACACTAAATATAATACAATACATAAAATTATAATTTTTAATCGGTGACTTAACATTATTAGTTAAAGAACCAAGTATAAAAAATTTATTAAAAAATATTACTAGTACATCTTTTCCATAATTTTCAATACATTCAAATAGATCTTTTAGTATAATTTTTTTTATATTAGAGTACTAAAATAATCAAATATATTTTTTCCATATTAATTTATTTAGTATTTATCCAAAAATGTTTGATAAATGAGTTATTTTGTTAATTTCTAACTTTTGTTTAGACGTTAATTCATGTAAAATTTTGAAGTTATAATTTTTAACCTAATCCCTAATATTTTTTAAAATAATACTAGTAATATACTTGTGAATACATACACTCTGCTGTTAACTAAAATGACGTGAATCTCATTTTTCTTCTATTTTAAATTACTATTTTTTAATAAATTTTAATTAATCATAACGTATGTATTAAAGAGTATATTGTTAATATAATATACTCATTTCTCCTTAAGTCACCTTCACCATATCTAACACCACTATTCCTTGAAGCCCATGTGGACTTTAAAAAATATTGAATCTTTAAAATTAAAAAAAAATTATTACTCCATTTAAATTATTTATTTTATTTTTTATTAAGATATTTAACGCTAAAACAAAAATTGTAGAATTTAAAATTAACTAAAACAACCAAAACTATAATTTTCTAAGAATTCACACAAACTCTAAATGTTAAATTTCGTCAATTTAACCAATAAATAATGTGACATTAACATGTTAATTTTATGCATACTAAGTTATATTAAATCAAATGGTTGTGAACATAATTTTAAATCCAATATTCATTATATTTTTTAAAAGCATATTATACATTAAAATAACTTTAACAAAAATATATTCTTGGAACAACTTTATCTCCATCCATAGGTATGTTATAAATCTAACTGTTGAATTATATGATACTTGATTATATAATCTTGCACAGAAAATTTTAGATAATTCCAACATCAATAGGTATGTTATTTTATAGTCGACATTTGCTTGTATTTTAAAGTGCATAATATCTGGTAAAACGAAAATGATTGATGAAGCATTAATTGATTCTTAAATTATTTGAAATTTTTAAGACTTGATCTACAAGACCATTCAATTTAAAATTGGATTAACAAAATTAAATGTCTATAAAATGTTATCGAACAGAATAAGTTTAACAAGACTTGCTCCAAAAGTAAGTGCATCCCCATCCTATGTAAATATATATACATCTTTTTTAGCTAATAGATTTCAGCTAAAAAATTGTAAACTTTCAACCCTGCTATTTTTGCCAAACAAATCCTAAAATGCAACTGCCATCAAAGTAACAAATTAAATACATTCAAATAGAACTTATGCAGTTTACCTTTATGACTGTTTACCCTTCTCAATCAGATCTCTCAAGTTCCCGAAACTTTTTATCCCATTCGCGAGCCTCATACTCTTGTTCAAGCAAGTCCTTGTCAGTACTATACACAATTTGATCCTGCCCTATGACCGTCTTTTGGGCCATGTCCCGAGCACTAAAAAGCTGAAAGTAATAACAAAGAATTGTCTCAGGAGATTAAGCAGAGTAAAAGCAATATCCTATCCAACCTTCCTTCTCTCCACCCAATCAGACAAGGGAAGAGCCCGAGAAAGCACATAAGAGAGAGAGATAAAGCCATAGCTGAACTGAGCAGTTGATAGTGATACACACTGAATGTGATGAAGTAAACCATAACAAAAAAATAGAAACGAGATTAAATGCATTATTGTAATGATAGACAACTCATTCAAGGAATCATTTCCAAAATCAAGTAACATGTTTACATGGTCGTTCAATTTAAATAGTAAAACTTATAAACTATAAAAAATCATTTCCAAGATGATGACTTTAAAAATCATACTCAGATTCTTCTTATTTTCACAGCAGTAAAATAGATCACCATACCTTCTGCCTCAGTGAAGTATCAGGCAATTCAAGAACTTGTGCATACTGCTTTCTAACTTTGTTCCTCTTTTCAATGTCAGCATTCCTTTTCCGAATAAAAAACCATCGAACAAGAGGAATTGCAAAGAAGGAACCGGCATAAATCTGCAAATATTACCGCACAAAGTATGAAGACAGTGATGCTAAATATTTGTAAAATAATTACCATTAATGCAAGTGCAAAATATTTGTAAAAGTACAAACATATTTTGATCAATAATTTTATATTTCTCAATGCTTTTGTTTTATCTCAAATTTAATTAAATGGGCATGGCAAAGAAAGAGAAGCATCAATCAGATGATGTATTGATCAACCCTCTTTTATTGATTCACTTTTTTTCTCATCCTTTAGGATCAGACGTCTGTTAAACTTCATGTTGATCTGTATGTCAGTAATTAGTTACACATTAGTGATTACAATATCTTAGTTACCCTACTTCTTCCCCTCCTCTAGCTTGTGTTCCTTTCCACTATCTTCCACCAGAACCATCTCATGCTTCTACAAAACTACCTTCTTCGCATCCTCTGCAAGTGTATCACCATTGCAAGCCCCTCTCTGTACCACCAGTGTTAGATGGGCCTACCTTTGACACGCTTCCGATGCCACTCACCCTTTCTCCTCTAGGCTTGCCACCTGAAATTGAACTTCTCATTGCTCTTCATAAAGGTACATACTCTACCTGTAATCCCTCTCGTTTTTTATGTTTCTTTGACTTATCATCATTTGTCTTCTTCTCATTATACTTGTTTGTCTTCCTTGTCATCTGTTTCTATTCCTCAATCTACAGGTGATGCTCTCTCTCATCTCGATTGGAAACAAAGAATGATTGATGAAATGTTTGCTCTTCATAATAGTGGTACTTGAGAACTTGTTCCTCTTCCTCTTCAGAAGTCTCTTGTTAGTTGCAAGTGGATCTATACAGTCAAGGTTGGTACTAAGGGTAAGATTGATCACTTTAAAACTTGTTTGGTGGCCAAAGATTATACACAGACATTTGGCTTCAACTACGGTGACACTTTCTCCCTATAGCTAAAATGACATTTGTCTAGCTACTCATATCTATAGTTGCTATCTGTCACTAACCTCTTTCTCAACTTGATATCAAGAATTTTTTCCTTCATAGTGATCTTGCAGAAGAAGTCTATATGGAGCAACTTCTTGAATTTGTTGCTCATGAGGAATCTTGAAGACTTGCTTATCATCTCCGATAATCCCTTTATGGTCTCAAACAATCTCTAAGGACATGGTTTGGCAAATTCAGCATGGTGGTTATAGAGTTTGGTATGACTCAAAGTGGAGCAGACCACTTTGTTTCTTATCTTCATTCAACCTCATGTGTTTACTTAATTGTGTATGTAGATGACATTATAATTATAGGAAGTGATCATAGCATTGAATGGGTAAAGCAACACCTTTGTCAGTACTTCAAACAAAAATATTGGCAAACTTTGTTACTTTTTGGGGATTGAGGTAGCTCAATCCAAGAGTATTGTTGTGATTTTCCAAAGGAAATATGCAATGAATATCCTTAGAGAAAATAGGATTGATGGGGCCAAAACTTGTTGATACTCTCATGGATCCTAATACTAAACTTCTGCCAAGTCAAGGGAGGCACTTTTAGATCCAGAAAGGTATTATAGAAGACTTGTAGAAAAATTAAACTATCTGATAGTAACTTGCCCAAACATTTCTTTTGCTGTCAATGTGATGAGTCAATTCCTTAACTCTCCTTGTGACGAACATTGGAATGCAATAATTCGCATTCTAAAAGAAGGGAATAGATGGGAAATTCAATAACTAACTGTTTTAGTGGTTATGACCATTGTTGTTAAAATCGCGAGATTGTACGATTTTACAATCTTATACCCTTTACACGATCTTAATCAGGCTTGGGATCGTTTATATGGAAGATCGGATGAGATCCCGATCTTTTCCATCAGGATCGCAGGATCTCCAATCTGATCCAATCAGAGGCCAAGTTTTTTGGGTCAGTTCTGGGTTGGGCTTCTAGGGGGTTTGGGTTTACTGGTCGGGTTTTTCTGACCCAGTTTTAAAAAACCTATCTAGGTTATTTTTCCCCAAATTTTTTCCCACTCTCTTCTTCTCTCATCAGCGTGCCACCCATTCTTTCCCGACACCCATTCTCTCTTCTTCTCTCGTCAGCGCACCATCCATCCTTCCCTGACACCCATCCTTCCATTTTCTCTCTCTTCCGCAACACTCATCTTTCCATTCTCTCTACATTTAACCGTGCCACCATTGGAGAACTTCTCAAAACCCAATCTCTCATCTTCTCTTTATTTGGGCTCTAATTTTGCAACGTCTACACTGTGGCTTTCAGATTTAATTGGTTGGTTTTTGTTGGTGTTTGCTGTTCTGATTTCTTCTTCCCATTAGTTTTGTATTGTTTGGTGGCTGGTTCTACGTGGGTGAGACTATCTCAGTTCTGTGTGGGTGAATTTGTGGGTGTCTCGATTCTACATTTCCCCTTTGTTTTTGTTATTTTCATTGCTGCATAACGAATAATATAAGGAAGGAAGTTGGTGGCTGTGGAAAAGAAAAGGGAATTCAATTAAGTGGAGCTGCATGGAGTGGTATTGTTGGTAGAAATGGAAGTTTAAGATCAAAATCAACCAATACTGCTCCAGGAACAAGAAATGATGTGGTGTGGAACCATGCCATTTTTGTTTTTAAAGATGTTAGACAAATCAAATTCAATTATTGCGAGAATGATTATACTGGAGAAGTTTATCGATTCAAACATCATTTGACAGGAACAGAGCAAAATGTTGGAGCTTGCATGGCTATCCCTGATGATGTTCGAAAACAAATGTGGGACATTGCTCTTAAATTGCAAGAAAAATTTATAAAAAAAAAAAAAAAACACAGCAATAGCTTGAAGGAAAGAGAATAGAAGGTGATGTAGGTGAATTTGAAAATTTGGGCAAAAGAAAAATATAAGGTGATGTTGAGAGTCCAACAACACTTTTCAAGAAAAAAGGAGTGACCACCCAATCTACAATTAATTCAATTTTTAAGCAAGATTTGAGAGAGGATGCATGTTTAGAAATTGCTTCATTTTTTTTACAATAATGCAATTTCTTTCAATGTTGTAAAGAGTGAGGAATTTAGAAAGATATGTGAGGAGATTGCTCGACATGGTATTAGATTTAAGCCACCATACTAACATGAGATTCAGGTAAAATATTTGAAGCAAAAAGTTGAAGAGACCAATAGCATCTTAGAAGAGCACAAAGCTACATGGAAAAAAACTAGATGCACCATAATGAACGATGAATGGACCAACAAAAGGAGGATTATACTTAATTTTTTGGTAAATAGCCAAGCAGGAACTGTGTTTTTGAAGTCTATTGATGCATCTGACATATGCAAAATAGCAGACAAAATTTTTAAGATGATAAATGATGTTGAAAAAGTTGTAGAAGCAAATGTGGTACAAATTGTGACGGATAATGCTGCAAATTATAAGGCAACAAGAAAAATGTTGATGGAGAAGAGAAAAAGGCTTTATTAGACACCTTGTACTGCACATTGCATTGATATTATGTTGGAGGATTTTGAGAAGATATTGTTACATAAAGAAACTATTGCAAACGAGAAAAAAATCACAACTTACATCTATTCTAGAATTGGTCTTATATCTTTGTTGCATACCTTTACTCAAGGTACAGATTTAATTAGACCTGCAGCTACACGTTTTGCAACTTCTTACTTGACTTTGAGATGCTTGAATGATAATAAAGGATCATTATTGAAATGTTTACATCCAAAGAATAGAAGGATAGTAAGTTTGCCAAAACGAAGGATAGAATAGCTGTAGAAAATCTAGTCATAAATAAGGATTTTTGAAAAGATATTCTAAATTGTTTAAGGGATGCTTATCCCTTAATTAGAGTGTTGAGTTTGGTAGATTCAGAGGACAAGCCAGCCATAGGTTTCATTTATGAGAAAATGGATCGAGCCAAGGAGAAGATTCAAACAAACTTCAATGGTGTTAAAAAAAGGTATATTAGACTCTAATTTAATTTGATAATTTATAGCTTTGGTTTGAAAACTCTTTTTTTTTTCATTCTTTAATCTCTAGTTTCATGCCACTGTAGGAGATAATTAATAAAATATGGGACAACCAATTGCATAGACCTTTGCATGCTGCAGGCTACTACCTTAACCCAATTTTGCATTACGCTCCGAATTTTGAAGCTGATTTTGAAGTTAAGTGTGGATTATATGAGTGTTTAGAAAGAATAGACGAAAACATAGATGAAGTTAATAAAGTTGATGGTCAATTGAAGTATTTCATAACTAAAAAAGGATATTTTGGAACAAAATTAGCAATTACTGGAATGAAAGTGAAAACTCCAGCATAATGGTAGGAATCTTATGGTGGAGAACATCAAGAGTTACAAAAATTTGTCATTCGTATATTGAACTTGAAATGTAGCTCACCTAGTTGTGAGCGTAATTGGAATACTTTTGAAATGGTAAGTTATTTTTTAAAACTACCAAGTGGACTATTTTAATTATTGTGTTAAATTATTAATTAATGTTGATATTTAGATTCACACCAAAAAAAGAAATCATTTAAAGCAAAAAACGATGAATGATGTTGTATATGTCATGACAAACTCAAATTTAGGCAATAGTATCAAGAGGAGGAAAGAGCCTAACTTGAAAATTGAGGATGTTGCTTCTAATGATGATTAGATTGTAGAGGAGAATGAGCTAATATCATATATGGATTTAGATGAGAACTTGATTCAAGATGGAGAAGCAAACAGTGGTGTTGGTAGTGTAAATACACCTATGGATGATTTGGACCTTCCACCTGCTAACGATGATGAGACTAATGTGAATGATATTGATAAAGATGACTACATAGAAGATGATTATCCTGATTGGGGCTTGCAAAATTTATTGTAATAGATTAATACTAATTTGACTAATTATGTGTTGTATTGGATCTAGAATCTATGACTTTTATGTTTAATTAAATTATGTGATTTATATGTTTATTTCCTTATGTTACTTTTTATGCTTATATATATGTTTAAGTATAGTTTTATATGTTTGGTAGGATCTTACGATCTATTTTACGATCTCATGATTTACAATTTTTGACCTCCCTTCCAATCCTAGGTAAGATCCCGATCTTGACAACATTGGTTATGACAGCTATATTTTTATATTAATTACTTTTATAAATAGTCATATGATGGATTAGTGGAGTAATTATGTTTATTGTAATTAATTGGGAAGGCTTGGAGAGTGGGTGTCTCTTGAAAAACCCTGGTGGTAATCAGTTGTAATTCCTTTGCCCAATTCTAAATCACTATCACTTTGGTACTGATTTGGGAATTATGGTTTTCTTAATAAAATTTAGAAGTTCTTTTCAGTAATTTTGTACCAGTTCTATCACAGTTACATCAATTGCAAACAACAAAAGAAGTCGAGAGTGGTTCTTGATCTCAATGGCTGTCACCAACATGAATCCCGAGGCTCATTTAGAGGAGCTGCAACTGCAGGTGGAAAAGTTGCAGCGAAGAATATAAGCAAACCAAGAATGGAGCGAGAAATTTGTGAGACCAAGGAAGCACTGAAAATGCTGGTCCAAAAGATAGGTGAGAAGGATGCAAGTCTGGAACAGGTCTGAGTTCCAACAGGTCGTTAGTGTTGAAAGTAGACCATCCAAGTGCATTCTAGTGGGACTTCTCAAAGGCTTTGCTCAAGTGGTTCCAACTTGAGTACCATTCAGATTTATTTGTATCTATTGGGGATGAGGAACCGGAATTTTGGGTGCAAGAAAGTAGAAAAGATGAGAATCTTGATAGAAAAGAACCAGGAGCTTGGAGACCAAACCCAAATGCAGAAAAATGTGCAATTGTCCAAGAAAATGTACAGAATCATGGGAGCCAGAAATCTTGGAAGCAAAGATAAAACAAAGAGGGAGAAATTCAAAGGAAACAAGTTCACATTTTGGGTCAAGAACCAAATGAAAGAGTTCAATGGATTGGGACAAACGGTTGAGTAGAGACAATTGGGTCCTGAGAGGTCTGAAAGGAAACTTGTTTTTGTGGAAGGAAACCATCTTTTGAGTCGTGATATGGAAAAACACATGCAGCATCATTTGGGTAATGAAGAAATAATAACAACAAACCATGATTTTCCATGAAAACTTTGGATTCTCAGTACACTTGTAGAGTGATGTGTGTGTATTTAACATAAATCAATACCCAAATATTGCATAATCATGCATTTTATTTAGATTTAGCATGCATTTTCCTTAACTAGTTCAACCTTAGACATTCTTCAGAATACATAATCAAGAGACGTTCTGAGGTAGGATTACAACTGAATTTGCAAGATAGGGTAGAAACAGAGTTTTTTTATTTCTTGTTTCTGTTCTCTTATTCTTCCTAATCAGGTCTAGATTCATTCTCTTGGGTTGTAATATGATGATGACTTAGTAGTTTCCTTGTTTTAGGGTTTAAGAGTAGCCTAAATTAAGATTGACAACAATGTAACAAATCGTTTATGATCTTTTGTTAATCTTGATTTCTTAATTTAATTCTTAGTGTTCTTAATGCTTGTGAATATGTTGGATCCCTTATTTACATTATTTTATATGTTGTTAAGGAAAGGACTGAAAGGTGAATCTTAGCATTGGAAACTTCAAAATTGAACCTGGGATTTTAGACCATGAAAGTAGGTTAGGTTTCTTGAGGAATTACACAAATTGAACTTAATGGGTTTAATAGGATTTAATTACCATGAAAGTAGGAGTTAACCTAATTAAATACATATTCTAAATGGAAACAATAATCCCCTTAGGAGAATTCGTCTTCTGGATAAATAAATAAATAAATAAAATCTTAGTTAAATTCATCAATTTTAATTTGCCGTAAAATTAATTCCTAGATGTTTGTTCAAATTTGAATTCATCAATACTATGTAATTGCATTTTTTTAATTCCTTTGCCTTTTCCTATTTTATCTTTACATAATCTTATCAATTGGTAGCGTTGAGATAATTAGGTTGAAATTAATTAGTACTTAATAGTGTAGTTCCTATGGATACAATACTTTTTAGACTACTCGACAATAATTGTATACGTGCACTTGTATCACAGGGCTAAGAATACAAAAGAAAAACAAAGCTTGGAAGAGTTTGATTGCAACCACTTGTTTGTGTTTAACCTAGGAGGTATTAAGGCTATTGGCTGCAGAAGTTGGGTTGGTTTAATCATAGTGCATCAAACAAATGAAACCTAATAGAACTTAGCTCAACTGCCATAGCTATTCACCTTGAGGATAAGGTGTCTTTAGGGGGGAAGTATTGTTAGGTAACTAGTTGTTAGTTACCCATTAGTGATTACAATATCTTAGTTAGTTAGCCTAAATTAGTTAATTAGGCATGCTGCCAATAAATAAGTAGAAGGGATGTGGGGGAAATGGCTTGTCAACTGAGAGAGGGTTGGGGCCTTTGTGCATTGGGAGAGAACAAATACCTGAATTTTATTGGTGTTTCTGTTAATAAAGACAGTCTTTATTCAATATCTGAATCAGTTTCAATCATGATCAAAGCTGCATCAGGTTTATGGAGTGAAGCATAGTCACAAACAAATACTATGGTGGCGCTATATGTTTCTGGCCCCAGTTTTCATATTATACAGACTACAGAGGTTATGGCTGGAATAGACCTAATGTAAGGGGTTAAGGTCCACCTTACAGTGGAAAAAGGTTTGATACAAGTCAAGAGTGCATTTTATTGATCACTTTATCTACCATGTTCTCATAGAGTAATACCTTATCTTTCTATTTTTTTCTTCCTTCATAAATTACATAGATTTCTGAAAATTTAAATTTTGACTGAGCTCAATGGCATCGTGTAATTCATGTAGTTAACATAACCTAGTGGAATAAGGCTCGGTTATTATTGTCGTTGTATAAATTACATAGCTGTCAAGATGATGGCAGAATTCATGTATACAGGAAGTATATCATTGGAGCCACCTTAGGTTAAACCCAAATAAGACCTGCCTAACTAATATGATACAGTTGAATGGATACATAATGAATTGTTATTATAATTCATGTACCTGAACATTTATGTCAAGGTACACAAGTGTTCAACTATCAATGGGTCCCATCTCTACCATCATCTCAATAATTGAACACCATCTTGCTCCATAATACAGAACTAAAATTTGTGCTTTCTTGTTTCAACCCTCAAAACTTAAATTCAAACTCTAAAATCATGATTCACTATGAAACAGGGTCAAATGAAAAAGTTATCATCTTCAATTTACAGCAACAAATTGCCATCAAATTCATAAAATTTCCAATATCACATCTATATCTATATGCTCCTTCAAAAAAAATAATTTGAAATTCCCTTCCCAATGTTAAACAACTTAATTGTTTGAAGATAGAAATAATGATCATTACCTGAAGAAGAGGAAATATGTCGGCAACAAATTTAATGAAGCTACTAGGTGCAACTGCCACATCTCTTTAGATCAATGAAAAATAGAAGTGAGGGCGCTGAAACATCATAAGAAAATAACTAATGGTCTAATGCATCATGTGAAGAGCATACTTTAACATGGTTCCAAGAATGATAACTCCAAACAGATTAAGGCCACCAAGGCCAATGACCATCGCTCTCTCTGACTTGCTAGTTTTACTGCAATAGAACAATCACCCATGAAATGTTTTAATAAGTGGAGATGGATAACTAAAACATAGGTAAAAATAAGAAAACAAATAAACAACCTAAATTGCCATTTTTTCTCTTTGAAAAACTTCTCAACTCCAACCCAATCTGCCCATCTCCTTCCAACATATTCTTTCCTCTTACCCTTTTGGGAAGCTGTCCTCTGCAGAGATGGAAACCTATATAGAATATTTCCCTGCATAACAAGCAATCTGCAAGTATATATAAAATGAGGGGAAATAAGGAAAAATAATAATTCTCAGCAGAAAAAAAGAAACACAATATAATCTATACTCATTGTAGCAGAAAGCATTACTCCATATGAGCTAGAAATCAATGCTTTACTTAAAAACAAAATGACTACTAACAATTGTATGTTGCATCCTTAAAGAAATTTGGTTTAGTTATGCCAACTAGTGGGTAGCAACAAAGAGCATTTTTAAGGACTAATATACTCAAGGTCATCTCATAAACATCATCTGTGAGAAAAATAAGGAAGCTAGGCAGAAGTTATCGTCTCAATATACCTCCTCGTCAACTTCAGGCTGACCATCAAATCTTAAAAGCACAGGTAAGATATAGGATTCATCATCCTGGAACCATCCAAAGATACATGGTTAAAAATTAGAACAATAAACAAAATCAGAATGACATTATTTCATAAAAGTTGAGAGAAGGTAGATCAATAAACAAGAACAATATAGAAAAACATCAGAACAATAAATGAGGAAATGATCACAAGGTCAACCATTTGAGCTTCATTACAGAGAATCTTGCAATCGTCATGCAAACTAAGGTAAGTAGATCAACTAGGAATGCATTATGAGCAGTGTAGAAAAAAAATTAGGGGAAAAAAAAAAAACACAAAAATGGGATCCCTATCAGTTAGAATTTATAAGGGAAAATCATGAAGTCTCACAAATTCTTGCAGTAAGACCATTGCAATACTCTTTGCAGAATATGGCTGCTTAAGTGGTACACTATCAATTTGCATACTTGATCAACAATCACCATAATAGCATCATAGCCTGTAGATTGTAGGAATCCTACAATAAAGTCCATTGAAATCTCCTCCCAAATCTGGTCTGGAATTGGTAACGGCTGCAATAACCCACTAGGAATAGTTACTGCACATTTCATCTTCTGACAAATCTCACAGGACTTGACAAACTCCATAACAGCTTTCTTCATTCCTATCCAATAAAATTTTGCTGCTAATCGACAATAAGTCTGGTGATATCCAGTGTGCCCTCCTGTAGCTGTTGAATGTAACTCTTGTAATAAGGTGGGGATGAGAGTCAATTGAGCAGAAATGAAGTCTTCCTTTAAAGAAAAGCACTCCATTTTGTATAAAAAAAAACCTGGGTGATTCCTAGCATCCTTAGTTTTGTCAAAAATAATTTTCTAAAGTGCAGGATCAGCATCCGCCTCTCTCTTGAAATCTGCATGTGACTGCCAAATTGGGAATGAAATTAAGGAGGCCAATTCTCCTACAGTTGGCAAACAAGACAGCACATCTGCAGCCTTATTTTCTAACCCGGGTTTCCACCTCAAATTGAAAGCCCAACAATTTAGCCAACCAATTCTGTTGATCTGCACATACCACCCTTTGCTGCAATAGATACTTTAAGCTTTACTGGTCAGAGTATACAATGAATTTAGACCCCAACAAATAATGCCGCCAATGCAGAATGGCTAAAGCCACAGCCATAAGTTCCTTCTCATAGATAGATTTGGACAACTGGGTATTAGTGTATTACATAAAGATTTGCTGAAATATGCTACTGGTTTTCCTTGTTGCATTAATATTGCACCCAGCTCGGTTCCTGAAGCATCACTCCATAGCAAAAGGCAGTGAAAAATCAGGTAGGGACAACACTGGAGATGTAGTAACTGCTCTTTTTAATGTTTCAAAAGCCTGCGGAGCTTCAAACCCCCATTTAAAAGACTCCTTGGTTAGCGCTATCAATGGCTTCGCCAACTGTCCATATCCTTGAACGAATTTCCAATATTATCCAGTCAAGCCCAAAAATCCCCTAACTCCTTCCACATTTTTTGGTTCAGGTCAATTGATGGAGTTGCTGGCCCAAATGACCAGTTATTGGATCTGAAGGAGAGGCCCAAAGCATGGAGAGTATATGTGAGAAAGAAAAAGAGTGAGAGAGTAAAAAAGGAAATGTGGTGTATGAGTTAGTCATAGGAAAAAAGAGTATATTGGTAAGGGGGAGCAATAGAGGGGGATATGCTGAGGAGCAGGATTTTTATTTCACAATGGAAATCTTGTAGGAGCCATAAGCTCTGGTGATTGTTGTTTTAGCCACATCCTCTTCCCTCTTCCTTATTTGATGATAAACAGATTTTAGATCCAATTTAGGAAAAAAAACTTGCTCCAAGTAGTTCATCAATCAACTAATCTATGATTGGAATAGGGAATTTATCCTATATCGTCACTTTGTTAAGGGATCTATAATCCACACACATCCTCCAAGTAGGGTCTTTCTTTTCAACAAGAATAACAAAGCTTGAAAATGGACTAAAACCATAGCTTTTAATCTTGAATGTAGCAGATGACCCTCAAAACACTATCGTGGGATAGCGCATAACAGGATTACCGCTAATTAAAGTTTAATTATGAGAACCAAACAGATAATGGGCTTGAGGAAGCCCTGGTCCAGGAAGCAGCAAACAAGCCCAAGGAGTTGATTGTTTATTATAGGAAGAAAAAGAAATCAGAAAAGAAATAGAATTGCTGATTAAGCAAGTTACTTAGAGGAGAGAAAATATGTTGCATAGGCTGCTACATTATCGTGAGGGAGGTTATGGGAGTGTATCCTTTTTGCAATTCTGTTTTGTGGTTTGGATAGAAAGCCTTTAGTGCTCTCTATACGGAGCTGTGCTCTGGGGCTAGGTGGATTATTCCTTCTTGCATGTTCTGTCTTATCTCTTAATACAAACTATTATCCATTTACCTTTCCATTTGTGTTTTCTTTGTTCGTAAAATTATTTCTAGAGCGTGGGTTTGTAACATTTTTTATATGGATATAAAATATATACATATGCAAATAATTATGTATATAATAATGCTAAACAAATATGCATAAATTGCATAACATAACAGAGGCAGGACTGTAGAATCATAGAATAGAGAGAAGAAAGGAAGTGGCTTTTGCTAGAGAAGTCATCCAAGATGAGTGACTCTGTTGGATTGGAGATTGTTGCAAATCAGAAAAGAGACAGAGATGGGAGGAGGGAGCGTCGAACAGAGAAGGGGAGAAGAAAAGCAGTGTAGAAAAAGTGTGGTTTCGTCATGTCTCTAGTTGCAAAGCAGAACAGCAAAGATGAGAGAAAGGGGTGTCTAAGAGAGAAAGGAAGAAAAAAATGCAGGGAAAAGTGAGGTTAGGTCAGAAGACTATTTTGCCCTTAAAAAAACCAAAAGATTGTGTCATCATAAGGGCAAAAAGGGAAAATCAGCTTATTTCTTAAATAGTAAATCTTTTTTCCCTTAAAAAAACCCTAAAACTCCTTCATTTTGAGGGTGGAAAAGAAAAGTTAATATCTTTCCCTATGATGGCGCTATTGCGCCACGAATGGCCGCGTTTTGGGCCACAAATACAGCTGCGATTGGTCATGATGGCCACGACAGAAAAAACATGCCGCTATGCCAGATCTCTAGCAGCCGAAGGCTGCTCTGCCACACACCACTGCTATCGCGCACTATTGACATCTATGACTAAAACTAGGCCAAATAATCCCTTGCTGTAGCATTCATGGACTTGATGATTAATTTCATTATTTTTTATGGAACGGATACCTATAAGACCTCACATTGATCAGTTTACAGCCTTCCTTTAAAATAATAGAGTAAGCAACTCTGCAAGGCAGATGCAACCCGCTCATCTTTGCCAAAACCTCTGGAAACTCTTGCAGAACTTGTTCTAATTCCAACTATGGCTGCAGACTTATTGTTTTGAATCTGTTGCACCATTTTCACCCTTCAAATTCCACAATAAGCACCCCTGCATCATTTCCAATCGCTCCAAAGTACCGAGAAAAGAATCAAAAGTAAAATTTTGATTACTTGGAGAGATGCATCTTGAACCTGGGACAGCAATTCCCTGCAACTCCACAATCTCCTTCCTTGACTTAAAAGACAGCCATATTTCTCCAATCTATTTCCGCCTTTCTCAATGTTTCCAGCCTAGCCAATCCTAAAATCATATCTACTCCACCCAATTCCAAAACGCACAAATCAACAATCACATCTGTTTTCCCAACTGTAAAGGCAAATTGGAACATTTTCCCTTAGTATGGACCCTATGAGAATCCCCCAATCTCATCCCGAATCATTTGGCAAAATCTATTGGAAAAGTTAAGGAATGAACCACCCCTGGTGCTACAAAATAATGGCTCACCCTGCTGTCCACCAAAACCAGAATCAGTACCCCTTTCCTATCCAATCACATAATTTTGCATGTGAACAAATCAGAACCACGTACTCCCATAAAACTCATGAGATTACACTCTAATTCTTCTCCTTCAATACCTGGTTCAACCTCCATAGCTAAGAGTCTAAGACTTCCTTTGTTCCTTCATCTCCTTCTTCATCCCCCATTATCAGCAACTTCAGGCTCTTATCAGTGCATTGGTGCAAGGGGTGATATTTCTCACCACAATGAAAACACAATCCATTCACCTTCCGATCCATCAGCTCCTGATATGACAAGGGTTGCACTCCTTTTGATTTTCCCTATATGCCACGTCCCTCTCCTTCCCACTTACGAGGAGCAGTGTTCCACATTGCAGCAGTTGTACCCCTTGCATATGCACTGGGTTGATGAGACAAACTTGACTTTCCGGTTCAGATGTAACCCCATTTCGCTTATTTGATGGAAAAAATTGACCCAAACATACTCAGAAGGATGCTACATTGGTACCAACCCCCATTCCATTGATTTCACGCTCCATGTCACAAGCATTTTGCATTGCTTGCCAACCTGCCATGAAATAACCCAAATACTAAGGCGCTGTTAAACACGGCACTTGAGCTGATACAATCTCAAATAGTTCAATATAGTCATCTACTGTTCCAGATTGATGGATCACCAATAACTCTTCAAATGGATTACCATAAACCTTTCCCCAGCAGAGCATCAACAAGGCTTGTTTCAATCTCTTCCACATCAATTGTTCTTCTGATTCATAATGTAAACCAGTGGATTGTGCTTCCTTCCATGCATAGACAACAGAGCTTCACCTTCTAGTCATCTGAAGTGTTTGCACTTCAAAATATATTTCAGCTTACTGAATCCAACTCATAGGATCATCCCCTTGGAATCCGGGTAGTTTGACTTGCTTCACTGAGATTCAAGTTTCATCTAATTTCTCCGATGACAACCCAAAAAATATTTTTGACATTCCCCCAAACGTGCTCTTCCCTGACATCTTCCCTCCCAACGATTCTACCTCTGCTCCCTTGTATCCAAATAGCTCCATTTCTTTCTTGAATGATAATTGCACTTCTTCCTGAACTGAAATTTGTGAAATCTCTCAATAAATGAACGCTGCATATCCAACTGCAACTTCTGCATTTCCAATATGGCATCTTGAAAGTTGCTCAATGAATTCTCAACACCCTCCAAGCATGACCCACAAGCCTCTATTAGATTAATCCAAACCTCCAAAGCATCACTTCAGTCAGTTTTATATGGCATGGATCGAGCAAATCGGACCAATTGAGAAATTCAATAAAAACGAGACAATGTATTATAAATTTTAATTGTAAAAAACAAAACGCAACAGCAATCACCAGAGCTTATGGCTCCTACAAGATTTCCATGACAAGAGAAAATCCTGCTCCTCCCAACAAAAGGAAAAATCTCAACATATCTCCCACTAATGCCCCTCCTTACCAACATATTCTTTTTCCCATAACTAACTCATACTCTACATTTCCTTTTTTACCCTCTGATACTTTTTCTTTCTCACATACACTCTCCATGCTTTGGGCCTCTCCTTCAGATCCAATAACTGGTTATTTGAGCTAGCAACTTCATAAGTCTCCCAAAGAACAAGACACAGTAGTTTGTCTAAGCTCTCTCCTTGCTATTTACTTTGTATGTTTTGTCTAAGATTTATGACTTCTTATTGTCCATTATTATTATGTCATGAATTTTGAGAATATTTTAACTTTTTAAGCATTTATATGTAATTATGTATGTAGTATAAAATATGTTATCTGTATAAAAATAAATTCAGAATAGAAACATTCCCACTATGCAGTATAAAGCTATATCATTTTTAGGGTCAGCTGTTATACGTCACTATCTGAGATTAATAACTGTGGTGAATAATGACAAGTGGGTCTCATTGTGAAAGTATTATGTACATGCTCTAATTTTCTATTCTTTTTCACAAGTTTTGAGTACGTTTCCATTTGCATCCATAAAAGTTTTCAGGCCTCTTGCAGTGTATTTAACTCTGACATCCTAAAAACAATTAGTTCAAAGTTCGAATTTTGATTCCGTAAATGCCAAGTCTACACAGTCAATTGGAGTGCAATGAACAGAAAGATGGCATGCAGTGAAATAATGCAATAATGTAATTTTCCCTAAATTATTTACCAAAGAAAACAGAGAGGAATTATCATGAATTATTAAAAACCAACCATAGAAACCTACACTTCATAAAGGCAGTAATTATGTGAAATTCAACAATTATTTCAAAATTGTTGGTTCTCGTCAATGTGAGTTAAAAAACAGCAATTTGATATTAAGCAGCAAGTTTCTGTACCAACAGTCTACAAATTAGAGAAAATTGTTTCTACATTTATATTATTGAAAGCTGACAATGAAACAAGGATCACAAAAAATAATAATAAACAGAAATGTACATAAAATATGTCATGAAAGTTAATCATGTCCAATTCCTAGTGAAATGTGCTACAAATAAGTAGGTTGTATAAATCCATGGGCAGAACAAGAAACATATTTATGCTAATTCAAAATTTTTTTTCTTTATTAAAATAACCTTGCTAAACAAATAAATTACCTTAAGTCCCTCTGTAGAATCTATATCAAGATATGGAACTAGTTCTTCTGCTGCAACAACACCACCATTAGATGCTATGTATTGCCCAATCTGCATATAAGATGAGTAAGTGGAACAATGAGGAAATAAACATGCTAAGATAAGGGACAGTTCAATGCACAGAACTTTGACAAAGGATAGAATTAACAAAATAAAGTGGAAAATGGAAACAAAAAATGAAGCAAACAAAAAATCATCAAAGGCAACGGACCACTGACTTCAGTCCTCAATTATTACCAACTTCCATCTCTCTTCTTCAATTCCTTGATTGGGATCGCCATCTCCAAATACAAAGGAGAAGACCTACCCAAAAACAAAATTATAATCTCTATTAGAACATGGAAAAGTAAAAAAAAAAAAAAAACGAAGGAAAGGAAAGACCAATTTCATTTAATTTGCACCACGCACTGATTCAACAAAGTTCATTTTGTCATCATCAGTTTGTAACCTTCGCCTCCTATAATAATACGGATCCCAGTACCTTCATGGTATATAAACAATGAATGAAATGTCACTAAACATTTCTCTTAAAAGAAATGTTTTGCTTTAGTTTGCATGAAATTAGATAAATATGCTATAAACTGAGAATATAATAGAAGAGGTATGAAAATATATCTAATTCAACCGAAAATTTGAACAGCAACAATTCAACTCCCCTATACTACCACAACAATCCACTTAGGCTCATAAAAATGTTGGGCATCTTTGTATCATACCAACTTCTTAGAACCATGTTCTGTAGCAAATGAGATCATTGCATGAATATTCTCATATTACATGACTGATTTTCTTGAACGAACATGCAAACAACTTTTTTTATACATGCAAAAGAATGTATTAATATAGGTAGCATATGATGAATCAAAAATCAGATCTGAAAAAACAAAAAACTTCATGAAAGATAGAAGGGGGAAAAGGAAACCCATCTGGTGATCCTTTTCTCTTCATTTTTCTCAGGCACATGATTGTTTATCAAAACATTCTTAGTAACCAAAAACATCCAATTTTCAGATACTGATCAGCAAAAACCAACATGAACCATGAAGAAAAGCATTCAATTAATTTCATATAATATGCAACTCCTACACTATAAAAGAGAATTACCAGAATAAATCAACCGGATTAAAGTAGAAAGTGACCCCTGAATCATATGATCTGCCTACACGCCTTCCCCGATTGTCTTCATCACTGCAATTAAACAACATTAGTCACCAATTGACACCACAAAAGTTTTCAGGATAAATTATAATTCGAGACATCAAAGTTACGAAGTACCTTTTACTGCTAGTTAAAAGAGCAACTATTGTAGTGTAAACAATAACAATGGATGCAATAAGCGCGGTCCCAAAAGAAACCCTTATCAAATATTCTGCGGCGGCCTGTAAAAGTCAAGGTCATACAACAACCACACTCACTCTAAGCAGAGAAAATGAAAAACAATCGTGAATACCTTAGCCTTTTCAACAATAGGTTCAACTTTAATCCTAAATGACTTGGAACCGAGCCTGGATCGATAATCTTTAGGAAACACGTAGAGAATGTCACCTTCCTCGGAAACCTCTAAGAAGCCATCGGCATCAGCAGCGAGAGCTTGGAGAGCCTTCTGAGCTTGATTCAAGCTGAGGCCAGCCCTGCTAGCCACATCGCCAATGGTCACTCTCCCTCCGCAACCATCCACCGCATCCATTGTTCGCTTCCTCACATCCGAATCCAACTTATCGGTTTCCACTATGCCCCCCGGTCTCGCCACCAAAACCCTAGAATCCCAAACCCTCTTAGGATTGGCATAAGGGAATGCCACTTTCGGAGGCTTCGCAAAACTTGAACACGTGTAGGATAGTAGCCGCGGGCGTGAGCTGAGCCCAGAAGTGGGAGCTACGGTCAAGCACGTCGACATGGTCGCCATTTCAGTGTTTGGACATGGAAGATCGTTGGCTTGCGATGGCCCAGTGTTTGCCACACCACACAAAACAAGGCTTTTTCAGGATTTTGGCATTTGAGAAAATAAAAACTAGTAAATATTGCACGGATGAGTTTGTATTTCGTCCAGTAGGATAAGTTGTTGGCGTTGGATAGGTTGCTCGTGTTGTATGCGAAATAATCCGCTATTTCTATATTAAAAAATTGAAATAGAATATTGAAGGTAATACAAAATAAATAAAATATATGTTATGAATTATTATACAAGTAAATATTTATATTTATAATTTTTTGTATTTTTTATAATTTATAATTTTATAATTATTTTATTTAAAGAGATGAGATCATTTGATTATAAATTTAGATTTATAAAAATATTTAGATTTATAAAAATATTTTATATATATTAAGACGATGTAATGTGAAATGAAATTAAGATTTTTTTTCTTTTTATATCACTGACTCTATTTTTTTACTTGTTACTTATAATTTTATATTTATTTAATAATATATTATCAGCATGAGGCTTTAATACACACTTTTGCAGGGAATAAACATTATTAAATAAAGATACGATAATATTTTGTTTTTATTTTTTTATAAAAATATATCATAATTTATTTATTTTAATTATTATATTTATGAATTTGTGTTCATAAGAAAATTTACTAGTAATTTTATCTCAATTAAAATTGTGTGAAAAAAAATTTCTAATAAAGATAGTTAGAAAAAACATTATTGATTTTTCACGCTACAACAATAATATTATAAAAAATGAATCAAAAATATTCTGAATTAAAATTTTGGTTCCTTGTAGCTGAACAAAATAATGAAGTTTTGATGAAAAATCATGAATCTTGTTTAACTGGCTTTGCTCCATTCCCATAAGTAAATGTAGCAACTTTTAACTATTGTAACTAAGTACAAACTTACAATTGTTGTAATAGTTATGGACATGGTCATGATGATAACCAGAAATATATATTTTCACACCAAAAGTGAAAAAAATGGTGAAAATATGAAAAACATATTCTATCATTGTTGAAGCAAAGGTCATTGGTCGTGTATTTGTTGTACACCAAAGCATCTTATAGACCTTTATCAAGAATCACTTAAGAAAAAGATAGAGAAAAATTTTGTTTGTGAAAATGATAATGATTCTATTTACGATGATATGAACGTTACTTACTTAGATGTTACTGATTTTTTGCTACTCCAAATGAAAAAAAATTGACTTGTCTCATTCGTGATAGAAGTGTTAAAAAATAAATTTATTATTATTTCTTGATTGAGTTATTATTATTTTTCTTATATGTTAATTTATATTTAATGTATTTTTCTTTCTTTGCAAAAAAAAAAAATAGTAATGGTTAAAATGAATTGTCATGATTACTGTTGTTCTTTCATTGATATAGTTGTTATTTGAAATAAATTTTAATATAGTCAATGTAAATAAATAATAATAACAATAATAATAAATTTTTACCATTTTTTTAGTATCTAATTTTTTTATTATTTATTTTTGCAATGAAGAATGAATGTTCTTATGGACGACACTAACAATGAAGATATATGTCTTGTTGATAATGTAACAACTCGCACAATTCTCAAAAATAAAAAATATTTTTCTCATTTAATAATGCAACAAGCTAATGTGAGTACTATATATAGTAGTACAAAGATTATTGAAGGCTCCAGTTGAACTTAATATATTGTTGCCTAGTGGAACAAAATTACACATTGATAATGCATTATACTCCACTAAATCTCATAGAAACTTATTAATTTTCAAAGATATATGCAAAAATGAATACCATATTGAAATAACAAATAAAGGAAAAGAAGAATACATATATAACACACAATAATTATCTCGAATAAAAAATGTGTGTTAGAAAAATTATCTTTTTTTTTTTTTATATTACAGACATATAAATATAATTGAAACCCATATTATTGTAATCCAAAAGTTTACAAATCATGATAATTTTTTTTATTTGGCATGGTTAGGATATCCTAGATCAATCATATGCAAAAAATAATTGAAAAATCATTTGGACATTCATTGAAGAGCCATCAGATTTTTCAATCTAATAATTTCTCATGTGTTGCTTGTTCCCAAGGAAAATTGATTAGTCAACCATCACTAACTAAAATTAGAAATAAATCTATCATATTTTTGGAACGTATACAAGGTGATATTTGTGGATTAATATACCCATCATGTAGACCATTTAGATATTTTATGGCTTTAATTGATGCATCAACTAGATGGTCACATGTTTGTTTGTTGTGAACTCGCAACCAGGCGTTTGCGAGATTACTTGCACAAATAATTTGTTTAAGAGCTTATTTTCTTGATTATCCAATTAAGAAAATATGCCTTGATAATACTGGTGAATTTACATCTTGAGCTTTTAACGATTATTATATGTCTATTGGGATTGATATTGAGCACCCTCTAGCACATGTACATACTCAAAATGGACTTGCTAAATCATTAATCAAGTGTTTAAAATTAATTGCAAGAGCATTACTAATGAGATCAAAACTTCCAATTTCTACTTGGGGACATGTAATCTTGCATGCTACAATACTTATTCACATCAGGCCAACAAGCTATCATATATTATCCCTTTTGCAATTAGTTTATGGTCAACAACCAAAAATTTCTCATCTTAGAATATATGGATGTGCAATGTATGTTCCTATTGTTCCATCACAACACACTAAGATGGGTCCTCAAAGAAGGTTAAGCATATATGTTGGCTATGAATCTTTATCTATAATAAAGTACCTTGAGTCAATGGCAGGAGATTTATTCATTGCTCGATTTGATGATTGTCATTTTGATGAATCACTTTTTCCTACTTTATGGGAGAAAATAAGCATTTGAAAAGGGAGATAAGTTGGAATGAATTATCTTTATCTCATCGTGATCCTCGAACAAAATATTGTAAATTAGAAGTTCAAAAGATAATTCATTTGCAAGATTTAGCCAAGTAACTATCAAATGTGTTTACGAATACAAAAATAGTGACTAAATCATATGTGTCGACTGCTGATGCTCCAATAAAAATTAATGTTCCAATTGGACAGTTTAATGTTACAAATCAAGTTGAATCGCGTATGAAGCATGATAGACCTTTTTGGTTCCAAAGATAAACATTCTTGAAAAAGAAAAAGAAACTAAGAATTAAGGCAACCAAAATGAGGATGTAAAAACTCCAGAAGAGTCATTAAACCATAATGCCCTTGCACGCATAAAATAGGTGGCAATGAGGTTTCATTCCACGTTGTATCTTCCAGCAAGCTTTGGGCTAGAAATTGCCACCCTCCACAACTAAAACCTTGAGCACTCCCCCCATGCTTACAGAAGTGTTTTCTCACTTTTCCTTCTACAACACTTCAACCTATAACCTCCATTGCACGGAAAATCATTTTTCCCTTGCATGTTGAAAAGGAGTGTGTTGATTACTCTCTGAACATCCAAGCAAAGGAAAAACACTCTTTCATCTTCTTTTCTCAATGTTTTCACCAATTAAAGCAATGAGATGAAGTTTTTGCACCTCTTCCATAGAAAAGCTTGGAACTTTCTACGTCTAGCCACTGTGTGAGTAAAAATAAACATTTGTGAAAACTTTCTCTTCTTTCTTTTTGAAAATAAATGAGTAGTGTAACTCTAGCCATGTAATGGTTAGAACTTAAAGAAAGAGACAAAGCTAGTGAGCTTGGAATACTTAGAGAAAGTGCATTGAGGCAAAGGTATAAGTATTTGCCAATTCTGTATATATATGTTTCTGAATAGTTGATGAAATGATGTTAAATCTTAAATTTGGCGAGCGCATGTTTGCGTGATTAAGGGAGTGAAACTCCAAAAGTGTGCATGACTATTTAGAAGGCAAATGTGTGCGAAATTCCACTCCCATGTGAAGGAAGTCATGAGATTATTTTATAACTGCTGTTGGTGAAATATAGGAAGGACATCGACGTCTAAGAGATTTAGAGGTGGGTAACTTACCAATAGTCCTATGAGCGTCATAGGCCCCAGAACTCCGACTAAGAATTGCCACACGATGTTCCTTTATCTTGACATTCTCCTTAGGCTTATCTTGTTGGTCGAGCTAGATCGGTTGGTGGAGGTTCGAGTCCCCACCACACATGTGAAATGTAGGCTGGCTAGTGAAACTTTCAACAACTTTTGAACAATAGGATTGTTGTGGACCCAGAGTCACATAAGCATGGAAATGAGATTTTGCCAAACCAAGAGTTATCATTTGCATTAATCATGCATCATGTAATTAGACTTGCATTTTGTTAGATTGTAAAAGTTACAATTGTGTTAATGTGATGTCTGCTCGTATTTACTTTGTTTTGTTTCTTTTGTGAAGGTTATTTAATTGGAAATATATCTCACTCCTTCTTTTCTTTGTTGAAATATGTTGTGGTGTTGAATATTTTCTTTTAGTTGTCATAGATATTGAGGATGGCCTTTCTTCGTCTTATTCTCCATGTTGAATTCAATTTGAGGAGGATTCTTTGGATATCGAGGAGATAGAGGATGACCCTTCCCAGGAGTCCTGATTGTTTTTTTGTTATTTCTTTTGGCGTTTGCTGCTAGAGGACTCCACTTGTTGTATGGTGGAGGACTAGATACCTTATGTTTTATTTTGGTAACTTGGATGTAATATACCTTGTTTTAGTACTCTGATACTCTTGGATAATTCGTAATTACTTTTATCAATTGTGAGATTTATCTATATAACTAGGTTTATGTTATCAGTTATCTTCTTATTTTAATTTGGATGGAATTAAATAGGCAGGAAATTGATTCTTGAATGCATGTAGGTAATGAATGTGAACTCTCTAGGTTTGTCCCTAAGAGAGTTCTAGTTGAAGTGATAAACCACATGTTGTATCTCATATTATTAGTAATTGGCTCATGAGCATATGAAAAATATTGGAGTCCACTTGCATGGTTACGCTAATACATGGTATAACTATACTATTCAAGTGGTACTTACTAATATCATGAGTTTCTAAAGGTTTTGAGTATGTGTAATAAGGAAATGGAACCTCATGAGGA